AGAGTGTATATGGTATGTTTACCCTCCACTGCACTTTGTGACAATCCCAATGCTATATTTGCATATTTTATTGGATTAACTTTAAAAACCAAAGAGCCTGTGACACGTTAAAATACGAGAGAAAAACAGAAAGAGAGACTTGTAGGTCTGATACAGGAGACTCAGCCAACATGACTTACAAGCATGACCATTTTGGTTCTAGTTAATATGAAAGGTTCAACTTAAGCAAATAAATAGGAGGCCTCTTTATGCTCACTTTTGTAGTAAGAAGAAGGATCAAAGGGGTTCATTTTGAATCAGAGAATCATGAGCTATTTTATTGTGTACTGATATGTTTCTTTTTTTCATGCATTCACTCTAAGGTAAATGGTTTTCAACCAGGGTTCCGGGACCCACTAGGGGGCATCAGTAAACTTTCAAGTTGGCCCCAGTGAGTTGTTATATTACTTTATTAATAGTTAGTTATATTAACAAAATCTTAATTTAAAATGCTAAGAAAAACCATGTATATTTTTACTACAACAGACGTACCAATGATACATATATCAGCTTAGGCAGGAGGGCCTTTGAAAAGGACAAAAAGTGGACAAAAACCTTTTCGGATAAAAGTGTGCCTTGAAGACAAAAAGGCTGAGAACCACTGGCCATTTTTTTCCTGCTATTAAATTGGGTATAAATATTATGCAAAGACTTTAAATGAGAAAGTATTATGTCAATAAACAGAGATTACTTATGGGGTCAGAGTAGATATACACAAATTTTAAAAGGATATTCATCTAAAAATGCAAATTTTGTCATTGGTTACTTACTATTACGTCTTAACAGATCTGTATGACTTTCTTTCTTCTGTGGAACGCAAAGTTTAGCACATATTCAGCATATTCACAATGCTCTTTTCTAATGAAAGTGAATGGTGACTAAATGAGCTGCCAAGCTTCCAAAATGATATTGGTCTGATCAAAGCTACTGTATTACTTCAGAAGACTTGGAATATAGTACAGGAGTCATGTGGACTACTCTTATATCACTTTTATGGTACTTTTTGGTGACCCCTAGTCACCATTCACACCAGTCATTGTATGGAAAAGAGCAGCTTGAGCATTCTGATAAACATCTCCTTTGTGTTCCAGACATCCCTCAGGTCGGGAACGACATGAGGGTGAGTAAATGATGACAGAATGTTCATTTTTGGGAGGTCCATCTCTTTAATGTGACAAGCACCATCAGGTCAACAGACACTGTCATGGCACAAACAAATCACAAGGCGTTTCATACGGTTGTGGTACACGCATGATAGCGAAGGAACTGAAACAGAAAAAGAGAAATAGGAAGACATAACGAGGCCATAGATGTATCCTTGTAGAAAAAAAACAAGGAAGGGGGACACAGAGGGCACGAGAAAGAGAGACAGAGGAGGTGGAGGAGAAGGAGGGTGCCAGCTTTATTTATTTCCGGTTGACAAAACCCTCCGCTCTCTTCCTCTCCCATCCTCCCCCCATACCTATGTCTCCCTCTTTGTCACTCGTTCAGAGGATGCACGGGAAAAGACAGTGACACGGAAAACAGACAGATGATTTACACAGAAACACAATGGAAGATGAAGAGCATCTTTCTCCGTGTGGGTTATTTTTTTAAATAGTTACAAAAGTGAAGCAAATGAGAAGGGATCCTAATAAAACGTTGTTAATATTTAGTGTCAGAGTGTTGCACACATGTGACGTTGAGTGCATGTTTATTATGTGTGCTGGTGTGTGAGTGTACGCTCCTTTAGGGCACATTTTTTTCAGTGTCTTGTTAGTTCATCCATGTCACCCTCTCTCTCTCTGCTGGGGGGGAGGGGGAAGAGAGGTCACCATAGCAACAATGCCGGGACAAATTAACATCAAGCGCTTAATAAAATGTGTGTACATGTATGAGAGTGCATGTATATGTGGTAAAGGAGCAAGTGTTGTACTCGATACCCCGCGTATGACGCCAAAATCTGGCAAAGGCAAATAATTCATTAGGCCCACAGTCTCTCCATCACTCTGTGTCATCCGTTTGGTTCCCGAGCACTTGTCTTCTTCCTTATTTTGCCGTCTCTGCATCCCATTTCCTTTCCCATCTCTCTCTGTGTGTGTTGTTGTGTGCCCCCAGGCTATAGAGTGCCACGTCCTCCCTCTCCCCTCCTCTCTCTCTGGCCCTGTCACCTTCAATTGCTCCATGGTACTAGACACAGCCACAGGCAAAGAGAGAGAAGAGAGGGGACACACACATACACACACAGAGAGAGAAAAAGGGGTGAGGACCGAGGGACGAAGCACTGTGTATGTCTGGAGAGAGACAAAGAGGTAAAGAAAGAGGGCAGGTGTGAAAAGTTGTGCAACAAGTTGTGAGGGAGGACGAGGAATCGAGAAACGACGAAATCGGGAGGTGACAAAGTTGAAGGAGGTATAAGTAGACACAACAAAGTGGCCTTGGTCCTAGCATCCATAGGTGCAAGTATTTTGTTGTCTCATAAGGAGGCTAACATGGAATTTCGAAGCAAGAAATTCTGCAGAAAGCTTTGTAGATTTTCTGCAAGTTTCTGCTGAATTTGAGCTCCCTTATATGCATACATTTAAAAGTTTGGGGTCAGCTTTAAAAAAATTTTTTTTTTTGCATTAATTTGATCAAAAAAAGGGGAAAAAAGGTGCAAGCAAGAATTTTGTGAAGCAGTCTAACAATTTAAAATAAATGTTTTCTATTTAATATTTTTTAAAATGTAATTTATTCCTTTGATAAAAAGATACATTTTCAGCCGCCATAACTCCAGTCAGTGTCACATGATCCATTGTGCTACTTTATATTTTTA